TAAAAAGAACCCGCCTAACTACAGATATTATAAAACAATATAAACGAGAAATATAAACTTTATCATTCAGCAGAAGCATATAAAATCACTAGAAACGTCAAGCATAATTGTATGTTTACGAGAATGACTTGCATTAAATTGTGCACAACTATAAGGCAGTATAATAGCGTTATTTTGCTTGCCTTTAATTAAATATTTCTAAAAAGAAACTTAATTTCAACTATTCCCATTTGATGTTTTCAATGTGAGCAGTGCCTTATAATATATGGGCCAAATGAAAAGGTCAGAAATCCCCAAGATTCAATATATTTATCACTGATTTGAAAATGATAACCAAAAGGGTAACAGCTTTGCAGCTCCTACTCTCATCCGAGTATCGAGATTAACTGTCTCAGTTCTAACGTCTTAGTTAAAAGTACGAATCGTGTTCAGTGGTATATGGTACATTGTATCTTCTGATTTCCATCCCGGCACACTTATCACTAGACCACGCCCAGTCTAATTTTTCTCATAGTTTAAATTCTTACAAAAAATGTAATGCTTTATCTTCATCACATCGTTATCGCTAAAGCAATTAACCTATCTAAGTTTGAAATAACTAATGAAAAGTAAATCTACATTGTTTGTAATAAAGCACAAAGCTGCACCATGGGCTATCTGTGCTCTGCCCACCACGGGTATCAAAACCCGGTTTCTAACGTTGTATATCCGCAGACATACCGCTGTGGCACTTTGGAACATCTACATAGTTGATTTAATCGGAAAGTTTGTTTGTTGAGTTGATGATCTGATACTGAGAATTTACATGTGTTTTTCACGATAGACATTATTTGGATTAAAACTAAGTTTATTTACTTGTTTAGAAAAATGGGGAGAAATACATCACCTTATCTTTTATTCATTTTTTAAAACCTGAAGATGTACAAGAATGTTATATGAAATTCAGAAAAATTCAATATGAAGACATTATATGTGTATGTGTATTACAAGAATTAGGAAAATCGGAAACTTACTTCTTTGTGGCGCCATCCAGTGGTCAAAAACCAATGTTTTAATGGTCTAAATTGTAACGGGTTGTGCCTAAATAGAGAAAAGAAAACGTTTGGTTTTTTGCTACTGAATGGCTTCAAAAACCAAACTTTTTTTTTGTAAATTTAGTTTTATCAAGGTCTCGCACATTAGGCACAACTCGTTACAATTTAGACCAATAATAAACAGTATTAACAACAGTTTTTAGAGTTTCCTGAACTAAAAATGAATTACTTCATATAAATAAAAGTTTACCTATTTTCAAAACAAAAAATTTGAGTTTGAGACTTTAAACGATTCCCTAGCAAAGCATTTTCATTAATTTAAAAGATTTCTCTGAAAAGCTTATCCTTTAAATATAAAACAGATGTTTAATTTTTTTAACAACTCAGAATATTTCTTGTAACAAATATCTATTTATTGCAATAATCAACTAATTTCATTTTCTTTACTTGTCCAGTTCCTAGGTAGTTTTAGTAACATAATAAATGCTTGGAATCTTATTCTTTTACATCAATTTTCATTTAGTAATATTCTTACAATAAGTATAATATATTTTTATTATCTGTCCAAATTACCTCCTTTTTCTCATTTCTAAGCAAATTCTGAAGATTGCAAAAATATAAATGAAGAATCAAAGCACTTGTCTATTTACTCTTACAGGCCTAAAAATCAATAGCTTAGGTGTCTCTGGTTCTTTAATGTTTATTTGACGTTCTCTTATTTATTGTTGTTTGTTTTGATAATATTCTACTGATAAGCAAAATTAAGTTGTTTAATATTCTTAGCAATCTGATACTGTCAGAAAATAAGGGTTAGAATATGTGACAGATTTATTATTATATATTTATTTTAATATCGATGTTTGTTTGTTT